ACTTTTGCATAGAATATAGTACTAGTTAAGTTGTCTTACTTCTAACTCTTTTCTAGTTACTGCTATTGCTAGGGGTAAAGTCTTAGACCTCTTATACCATAGATCTAGCGTCTGTAACAGTGTAGAGAGCTATCTAAAGCCTTCCCCTTATTAAGGAATCTTCTAGAAGAATGTCTATTAATCTTTTTTATTAAGATGCTATAGTATGCCCTAGTAATATTTAATATTATTTAGTAAGTTTTTACATTATTATTAATAGATACCTTTTAGTATAGTATTCTATAGTACTAGTATTTATAATTAGCTTTGCACTTCTAGCACTAGCTAGCCTAAAATTAATGTGTAAGCTTTTTTACTAGTATTTCTATTAGTAGTAGTCTAAGTAGAAACTTTTCCTTTTTTTTTATATATTTTCTACGTAGTTTGCAACCTATGCTAATTTATATAGTCTCTTATAGACTGTAGCTTTTTCTAGCGCTAAATTAACATTATAGCTGTCTTAAACTTCTACCTTCTAATAGCTTTTAAAGCAATTTATTAATTTATAGTTTATTTTACACTTTTAATAAAGTCTCTTATTAAGTCTGTTGCAGATCTTACCTACTATTAGACTTTTTCTATGCTTATAGCTTTTATTACTAGTTTTAAATCTTTATTCTTTAGGGTTTTTAATGTCTAGACATTTTTAATAAAAGTAGCCTACTTTTTATAGTTTAGGCATGCTTTATTCTAAAACCTTTTTTTTATTTCTTAGTTAATAGTAGCCTATTATCTTTTTTATAAGTTCTTTTTTTTCTAGAATGTGCTTTATGTGTGTTTTACATAACTTAGGTCTATTAGCTGTTTATTATAGTAGGGTGTTTTTTTCTTTCTTTGTGCCTACTTAGGTCTCTAAGGTGCGCTGCTAGGCCTCTTTTTATATTTATGTTCTTTATAATAATTGTTATAAGTTACTGCTTATTTAATAAAATTTTTTAAAGTTATTAGGTTTTTATTATGCATAAATTTATCTTTAATAGTTTTCTTAAGTCCTTTATAAAACATTCTACACAGGGTCTTCTAGTCTGTCTATCTATAGATAGCTAGCTGTTTGCTGAATTATGCAGCGTAATGTTGCGCAGTTTCTTTTCCTTACTATAGAGCGTCTATTTTGTCTGCTGCTATTTTTTCTTTATTTATAAGTCTATAAATTATACTAAAGGCTTTTTTAAAAAAAGTCTATGCTACTAAATATTTCTTTTATTTTAACAAAAAGTATGTATTTATTTACTTTAAAGTTTATCTAGCTATTAGCGTAGAGTTAAAACTAGATTGCTAGTAAGCTATTAAAATAAAGTTCTATCTATAAGATTATCTTCTTGTGTGTTTAAAACACTTCTTAGTTATATTACATATATAAGTAGCGTTATGTAAAGAAGGGCCTTAAGTTCTTTAAGTTTCTAGTAAAGGGCTTTAGTAGAGCTAGTCTTAAGGTTTTTTAGCTGTAATACTTGTCTTTTTTTAAAAAAAAGTTCTTAAAGTTAGCTAGCTTAATTTATAGAGTCTAGACTTATAGATCTAAGTTCTATAGTCCTTTTTAAGTTATTAAATATGCAAGCATTTATCTTAGGCTAAGTACTTTTTATTTTAAAGCTTTTAGCTTACTTAGCTTATTCTTTCTATTATTTAATTACTTAGTTAAAGCTTTTTTATTTAGTGTTAGAACTTAGCTTGTTTTTAATAAGGCAGCGCTAATTATTTTTAAATTAGTAAAAGTGTTATAAAAATTTATACTTTATTAAAAAGTAGTAATTAATGTTATAATCTTTACTTTAAAAAAATAGTGTCTAAAGTCTACTAGGCCTAGAAGAAGAGTTAGGTGTTTAAGTAAAGAGAGAACTTAATCTTAGGCAGGTGTACAAGCTGCTAAGGCTTAGTTACTAGAGTAGAGAGGTGTGGCTAACTATAGTTTGCCCTTTAACAGCAGTATAAGATGCTTAGGTTAAACAGTTCCTAAGTAAGGAATAAGATAGAGGTATATATAGTGTAAGATATATAATTAGTATTGCTTTTATTATAAAGTAGTAATACTACTTAGTCTATGTAATAATAAACTAAACTTTAATTACAACCTTTCTATAATAGTTAGGATCTAAACTATATACATAAAGTTGCGCGTTGTGGAGCGCTGTTAAGCGCTCTCTAACAGTAGTTCTTTACTACGCGCAATAGCGCTTACTTGCGCTTAAACGTTCTTTGCTTATTAGACAATGCACTTAGCTGTACATTAGTCTAGTAGCTCTGTCTATTCCTTGTCTGTTAGGTCACGTGTTCCTTCAGCTGGAATGGTCAGGGGATTCCAACCTTGTTTGTTCAAACAGTGGGGCTTCTGTAGTAGGTGGCTTAGGATCCAATCGTAGGTCGTAACAGTATACTAGAACTACAGAACGCTAAACAACAACATAATAAGAGACTAACACCTCTTGCCTATTATTTAAGATATTATAGACTAGCTATAGAGAATAAAGCATAAAATACAAAAGCGTACTTAAAAGTAAGAATATTACAAAGGTTAGTAAATTATTCTATTAATATTATATAAATACTAGCTAATTTTATAGTTAACGTACTTCATAGGCGAGTTGCTCACACACCCAAGTCGCTTACTTTTGCCAAGACCCCACCCTAACAAACTCTATTATAGCCTATAACAACCCGCTCTAGCACTATATAGTACAGTACAGCCTAGAATATTATTTAGATACTACTTCTACTTTTTACTTACATGTTTGCGTATTATGCCTAGTCTAATTACACTATCTGCAGCGCCTTTAGGATAGCTTACCTACTTTAGCTTGCACCTGCTTCTTTGTCTTCTTCCTATTACTGCGCGCTCTAAACTCCTTTAGAGCTGTTAAGCATAGGCCTTCCTAAATTATTAAAGTTTTTTCTGCCTTAATCTGCTTTTTTTTATGTAATTTATGTTACATAGTAGCCTTATTAGCTGCTTAAAGCTTAGTAATTTTTTATTATGCTAACACTAGCTTATGCGTAATTATTGCTACTCTTTTAAAGACTTTCTTAAACGCCTTAACTATAAAAGTTAGTAAACTATTTATATGCTTTTAAATTTTTATTTTTATAAGCATTAATTATAACCTAAGTTTTAAAGTATTACTTAGGGCTTGCAACTACTAGAGCTTATTATATATAAGTAGTAGTAGTAATAAAGTGCGCAACTTTACATTAAGGCCTATAATAACCTATTATAAGTTAAAAGAAACTAATCTAGCGCCTTAAAACCTTTTTTAAATATTACTAAAAGTAATTGCAGCATAATAAGCTACTTTAAAGCATAGTAAGAACTTTATTTTTATAATATAAATAATCTAGTTACATATAAGGTTTTTAGCTTAGCGCTTATACACTTTTTTTAAAGAAGTAAAACAACCTATATTAAGTAGCTATAAAAGGTGTAATAAGTAAAAAAGTATGTAAATAGTAATAATTTTATTATCTTTATAGTATTACTAGAAATAAAGTAAGTTATAGCTTTTATAGCTGTTAATAACTAGCAGACAGTAGCTACTAATAGTACACTTCTTTATATGCGCGTTAAAGTGCTTTAACTAGTCTAGACTAAGCTAATTAGTAGTCTAGCTGCGCTTAGAGATTGTAATAACTTAATTTTAAAGTAGATTTTCTTTTTTATACTAGTTTAAAAAGTAGTTGCTACTCTAAAAAATAATAAAAAGCAGAATAGCCTACCTTTTAGCATTAATGCTCTAGATAGGTGTTGTCTACTTCTAGTTGCCTAGCTAGACTGCTTTTAGCTGTCCTTATCTCTCTAAACCTGTAACAACTGCTCTAGTAGATATCTAGCTTATTATAAACTTTATTTTATTAAAGTTGTATATGTTGTTATCTTAGATGCTATACTTAGCTTTAATATTCTCTATAAAGTTAAACTAGCTTTAAATTACTATAAAATTTTTATAAAAAGCTTTTTTATAGTTATACTTACACTTAAACTTTACTTTAAGCTCTAAGTAACACTTAATAAATGTATTAAGCTAGTTTATGCTAATATAGCCTATATTATGCTTAGCGCGCAAAAAATTAGCTATATTAGCTATAGCTACTAGCTAGGGGGGAAATCCTTGCGCATTTAGCTTAAGTATGTGCTAAATAATTACCTGCTCTTTATTATTATCTAGCTTTTATAAGTTAGCTATATAATTAGCTTAGAAAAGTTATCTAGCGTGTTAGTTACTTATTATCTTTTAAAAAACCCTATAGATAGCTATAGCGCGTTGCTTAAAAAGTGTTGCGTTTTATTTAAAAGCTTAAAGTGTAAGCTGCATTTAATGTTTTTTTAACATGTTTAAGTAGTGTTATTAGAAATGCATTAGTATAAGAAGAGTAGTGTAGTAGGGTCTTAGCAAAAGTAAGCAACTCAGGTGTGTAAGCAACTTGCCTATGAAGTACGTTATTTTATATATTTTTTATAAACTGCGTTTTAGTAAAAACAAGTTTAGTATTTACTATTATTATATAATAATTATAAAGTAATATATTATAGCTATTTAATTTCTAAGTACTTATAAAGCTTTAAGTAGTTTATACTAGAGTTCTTACACATAATAAGCATATATAGCTTGTCTCTAGCTGCTCTTGTAGTTAAGTTATATAAAAAAGAGTAAGTTAGTGTAAAGTAACTTAGAACTAGCTTTAGTAGTTTACTCTACTTTAAAATTATAAGTTTAGCCTTTTTAAAATGTAACTACTATATAGCTTCGTTACTTAAGTTTTAATTATATTTATTAAATATCTATTTTATTATGTTATAAATAAAGGAATGTTAAAAAAGGTTAAATGCTAAACAGAGATATATACAAATTTACTCTATTTCTTCTTAGACGCTCTATAGACAGCTGTAAAAAAGTGATATTACTAGCTACAGCGCTGTGATTAGTCTAGTTAAACCTTAGAGAAGCGTCTAACCCGTGAGATAACGATCGCTAGACGATTATTGTAAGGCCGGATGTCCTAGAACGGGCCAGTATGGCCTCACCTGACCTGTTTGGAGGCCATATGACCTGTGCTTCGTACATAAGCATGAATCCTGACAAACGAGGCTTGGCAGCGATTCGTCTCTCTTACAATACACTATCTTTCTCTGAAACCTTGCTCTCAGTGCTATCCGTGCTATCTACTATCCCATCTTTACAATCATGGCCGGAACCCAACGATCACGACGGTCGCTAGCGGGTATATAGTCTTGATCTTCCTCCACTGTTTGGAAGGTCGTGGTTGTCCTTATCTTTAAGGCACAGCCTTAGGTATATCAATATATCTAATATCATTTCTAACCTAGCGCGTGCAGAAGATCTCTTCCTATGCGCGAGAGAACTAAAGCTACCTGATCATCTTATACCTTCACCTCGTCCTACCTTTTCGTCATCCTCCTCCCTAACCAGACGTTCGGCTAGATTGTATGAAGGACTATACACCCTACTCTCTCTTCCACCTTCCCTCTTCCCTCTTCCCTCTTCCTTAAGACCCTCTGTCACCGCCAGCAGATCACCGACAACGGACAGACTAAGGTGAGATATCATAACACGCAGCTAGCAAATACTAAATAACAATGTTAACTTGAAGCCTAGTTTAATGCCTCTTATAATACAGCTAATGTGTGTCGCAGTTTACTACAATTTGCTGCAATTTGCTACAATCTTGTCACGGTTATGTTACAGCTATCCAACCCCTGAGTACCCTAGGCTTGGCACGGGGTATATAGGCTCCTCGGCCTCCGTACCTCTGCCTCCGACCCTAAGGTTTACTCTCTCTCGTTAGCCCCCTATCCTGCATTCCCTCTCTGTGACCTGTGTTTCCTGCTCGATACCTCTCACAGTTTGACCGAGCTGCAACCTCCATAAAACTTGGTATTCGTAGTAGCCCCATCTCCATTCCGCGATCATAAACATGTATACAGCTAGTCAAGAAAACTTCTTAAATTAATGCCTACTCAAATTCGCAAATAACGACTTGCAAATATTGGATATTCATTCATTAGAGAGTAGAGAACGAAGGGAATTAAGGTTTAATGTTAAGCCCGAGTCTTTCATACTCCTGTGGCAGTTGCTGAGTTAGCTATTTAAAGAGTGGCAAACTTTCGAACCTCCACTTCTTGCCACCTCTCTCTACAAACAAAATATGCTCGAAACTCTTTCACTTAGACCAATTTCTAGAACACTTAAATCTCATTCTTGAAATGCTAAATGTCATCCGCAGACAACGTTCTCGGCCGCCTGAGAGTCGAAACAACCAACCTTGCGACGCCTCTTGCCTACGAGGAACGACGTACTATCTTGAAAGCCAGAAGGCTCTACAATGGGCTGGCCAATCAGCCTTGGGCTTGGCGTCCCATCATACTGTATAAATCATATAGCTCCTCGGACAGACCCTCAGTCCAGAATACATCACCTCTTCCATGACTCGTGCCTACTGCAAGGCAACATATCTATATCCTTGCACAATATTCAGGGTGAAGTTAGAGAGCAATAGCTTCAACTCTTCATCTTCCTTGTTCGACTATGCAATCAGCTACCATGACTAGAACACCTAGGAAGCAACGGCGCCGCAAGCGAACACTTACACCTGTTTCAACCTCTGAAGTAGCCGCTGTGGCTAGCAGCAGCGCCATTCACACACTACCCACACCTGATACGACAGCAAAGATGCGATCAGGCATCCAACAACCTTCCTCATATTCTCCTGCAATGACGACGTCAACAGTACCGCCAACTACGACGTTCATACTAGACAGTCACCACAGACCAAGAACTAATAGTGGCTTACAGTCCTGAAACGAGCGATCAGAGGCAAGGATAGAGCACTAGGAATTAGCGCAAATATCTCCTAGGCACAGCTGGTAAGCCTTCGCACATCCCTGTGAGAATGATTGGGTGGATGATTCGCATTCTAACCCAATCTAGTAGGTTCTCTTGTGGGGGCTATTCCCATTGCGACTATTGGAGTTTCGCCATGGCTATCTGACCCCTGAATACCCTAAGGGCTTGGCAATGGCTATGTAGGTTCCTCAGCCTCCGTACCTCTGCCTCCGGCCCTAAGGATTACTCTCGTTCTGCCCCTATCCTACATTCCCTCTCTGTGCTTGTGCCTCCTGCTCGATACCTCTCACAAGTCTCCATTTACACCATTTTAAATGCACACTACCCTAGCGTTGGAATGCATTCTAGGCACAATCTCTTTGTCTCTGCCAGTGAGAGTCTACTTTTTAAAGATGAAGAAACATGGCCAAGCAAAGGGTTTTTTGCCACGCTAAGGTGTAGAAGAGAAATACTGAAAACGGGATTTCACATGCGAAGTAAAACAGCAGAACCAGATCAGACATTGGTCCCTTGGAAGGCGAACTTGTTGGCATAGTTGCCCAGCACTACGCACTTCTAAACCAGTGAATAAGCTCCTTACAATAAGAAGGAAGGCTGGCCCAAGCCAGGTCCTCGATACCTCTCCCAAGATCCGCTCTGTTTTGGTGGTTGGTGGCCATCTCGGAAACCTCTTGGCACCCATCCCACTCCCCATATCAACGGTATAGGCATAATACCGTGTGTGAACACCCATTCTGTAGCCCCTCCTCATCTACGCGTAAAATTATGCACTACCTGACAAGGATGTGCCCAGAGTGGGTGGACATCTTGTCACTTGATCCAGGGTATACGAGACGCTTCACTGTGGCAAATTGGCAAGATATATATACATGCTAATCCCCGGCCCTCTATGAAATAAAGAGAATAATAAATATAGTAGAGTAAATAATAATGTGATGAATGTTCCACAATGCCTTAGGATGCATTAAGCTCGTTTCGTTCAACCTTGCATATCCATACCCTTCCATATCCAGTACCAATACCAATCATGTTCTCAGATACTATAAATCTCGATGGTCGATACTCTGACGGTAGCCACAATAATTTCTTTGCATTGCATGTTATCCACATTTCATCTGGGCTCAAATCTAGGCCCTTTTTGATGGTATTGTCACCCGACCCCGATACCAGCCGGGTAGAGTCGTGGGAGAAGGCC